ATATAAAAATAATTTAAAAAAAATAAAGATTTATCAAGTATTTCATAATACATACAGTATCTTGAAGTCATCGAGTTGCAACTTCTGTGAGAATGATATATCGCAGATATTCGTTAGTTTTCTACTTTGGTAGTAATTTATAACATGCGAGTATCAAATTTCGAGGGCAAGTTTGTGTTGCACTTAACACACACGCGCATACAATGCGCGCGCGCGCGCGCATATATTCGTCCGCATTCGAGTTTAACAACTACGTTATCGTACGTACATCCGTGCTCTGTACCCGTTAGGTGGGACGAGTTTATGACCCATTACACAATGGTCGGCGATAAAACCAAAGCTTACAATACGGAATATAAAAAAAGCTGTTCAAGGTAACGTGCCGGCACGCAAATTTAAAACGCGATTTGACATTAAATTCTTTCTGAGATACGTCTTTTTACGTTGAGTAAAATGGTGGATTATGCAATTTGCTTATATATAATTTGCATATATATAAAAGTTTATCATTGAAAATAAATTGAAATTAAAAGAAAATAAATAAAAATAAATTGAAATTAAAATTGTAGAAAAATATAGAAACTTGTAAAATTATAAATAAAAGTTACGGGAAATTATTATTTAAAGTTTCAATTTCTGCAACCTTGGGATACGCAAAAAGTCGGCATCCCGGCATCAAAATTCGAATGGCTAGAGCTCCAGCTGCTTTTCCGGTTACTAGCTTACGAAAGGTTTCCTTCCCCCAACAGAACACCGTGCGACCGGCGGCGTGCAGAGAAGCGGTAAAAATACCGCCCCTGCACCAAACACGCCACGGGTGCGGATGTGCCGGCACATCTCGTGTTAAATGCCGCCTTTTATTCACTCCTCTCTCTTTCGCACGAAGCTGAAATCGCGCGATGAAAGAGCGAGCGAATGGCTTTCCGATCGCACGCTGCATCGTCTTGTAAAACATCTAATTTAAAAAAAAAAAGAAAGATAAATCCCGATTCTAGTTGCAAAACCGGCACGCAAATTTAAAACGCGATTTGACATTAAATTCTTTCTGAGATACGTCTTTTTACGTTGAGTAAAATGGTGGATTATGCAATTTGCTTATATATAATTTGCATATATATAAAAGTTTATCATTGAAAATAAATTGAAATTAAAAGAAAATAAATAAAAATAAATTGAAATTAAAATTGTAGAAAAATATAGAAACTTGTAAAATTATAAATAAAAGTTACGGGAAATTATTATTTAAAGTTTCAATTTCTGCAACCTTGGGATACGCAAAAAGTCGGCATCCCGGCATCAAAATTCGAATGGCTAGAGCTCCAGCTGCTTTTCCGGTTACTAGCTTACGAAAGGTTTCCTTCCCCCAACAGAACACCGTGCGACCGGCGGCGTGCAGAGAAGCGGTAAAAATACCGCCCCTGCACCAAACACGCCACGGGTGCGGATGTGCCGGCACATCTCGTGTTAAATGCCGCCTTTTATTCACTCCTCTCTCTTTCGCACGAAGCTGAAATCGCGCGATGAAAGAGCGAGTTCCGATCGTTCCGATCGCACGCTGCATCGTCTTGTAAAACATCTAATTTAAAAAAAAAAAGAAAGATAAATCCCGATTCTAGTTGCAAAAAAAAAAAAAAAAGAAAAAAGAAAAGACGAAAAGAACAAAAATACGATGACGTAAATCGAATAAAGTTCTGGGAATAGTGCCCTTGCATAATGAGCCCTTTCTGTTGCCTGCTTGCAGTTGTGGGAACTAACACGGAAGGTAGCGATTCCGAGGAATTGCTGACGGGAGTCCCAACGACCTGCAACGTCTCGTCACCGCCGACGACGGAGTCGCAACCGACTTTAATTTCCCCCGCGGAGCCGCCGCAGGTAGCGGTTGATGGCCCGAGCGTACCTGCAGCAGGACCTACCGGTAATGACGAACAGCCTACTTGCGGTACAACGAAACAGCTTAGTTTCGAGGTGAAATACTTTAATTTATATATCTCGTTAGGGAAGAGAGAGATGGAGATTTGTAGCAAACGAGACGTCGCGTAATTACTTGAGGACACACACACACACACAAAAGAGTGTCCCTTAGAAAAAATATTATATTAATATATAAAATATATTATATATATAAATATATTATATTAAT